GGGGGGAAAGGCCCCCTTGACTCAGGAGGTATCAGTTGCCCATGACTGGAACAATATGCATTGAGTTACAAGATCTGATTAAGCTTGACTTCTATATTGCTGACTTCTCCATTTATCTCACACTGCTCAGAAAACTGCCATTGTCAAAAATGGGGAATCGAAAGAAAAAGACAAAAATTGCTCCAAAGGGCAGCACTTGAAAGTGGAAACAGACTGTAGCAGGACACTAGGGTGCCTGCTACTAGCATTGGTAATAGGGCTTGGCTGCCAATCAGCAGGGCAGCACAGCTGAAGGTTGCTTAGCCAACAGATTGGGTCAGCTGACTGCCAGGGGGCAGGGCCTGGCCTTTATAAACAGAGAAGGCCAAGGCCAAGTTCAGTTCCCTTCTGGCAGCCTGAGGTGCAGGAGCGGAGCAGCCTGCCTGATGATGCGGGGCAGAGAGAACCCTGGCAGGGAGGTGATGGATGTATGTTGTAGCCACAAAGATCATTCTGGGGTTACAGCCGGGTTGGCTTAGAGTTGTGTTAGAGCCAGTTGGCTCATGGTTGTGTTTGTTTACGTTATACTGGAGGACTGGGTGAGGCTGTAGGGGTGTGAGGAGGCCTCACGGGAGCTCCTCAGGAGTCTGGGTGTTCCTGGGTGCCTGTTTGGGCACAGCAAGCAGTGCCTGGGAGGCACGGCTGTTTGGTGCTGGTGTGGGGTATTAAGCCCCAACCTGTGAGGGTGGTACTTGCCCGGTAGGGTGTAGGACCCTGAGAAGGGTCAGGGGGCCAGGCATGGCTACGGGCCACCTGAGCCCCGGGCGCAAGAAGTGCGGGACCAGCCCCAGAGAGGGCGAGGAGCGTGGGAGAGGCCCGAGTACAGACAAGAGAAGCGCGAGCAAGGCCCAACATGGGCGAGAACGTGAGGAGCATGAGGCATAAGCCCCAAAGGAGGGGGGGAAGCCTACTAGGAAGCCCCAGAGAGGGGTGAGAGCCTGTGTAAGAGCCTGGAGTAAGGCGAGCGCGGGGTTGGAGACCCGCGGCGGGGTGAGCATGCGACTTAAGAGCCTGAAGAAGGGCGAACTCATGAGTAGAAGCCCAGAGAGGGCAGGACACGTGGGACAGAGTCCGGAGAGGGCGTATACATATTAGGGAACTCAGAGAGGGCCTTCATCGGAGAGGTCCCGGTAAAGAGGGTACATACATAGGGCACACAGAGACATAAGAACGTCCGGTACAACTGCGAGGCTTTGGGGCATGCTACAGGGGAGGTAGGAGGCATGCATAGCCCATAAGGCGGAGTGCACTAGAACACTGCACATAAGACAAAGGGGGCAGGATAAGCCCAGCACCGCGACCGGGGGACCCCAGGAAAGGCAGCCTCCCATTAATAATACTATAGGACATCAAAGACGTGGCGGGCAAGAAGAGGGTGCTAAGGGGGGCGACTTGGCATGGTAGGGGCACTAGGGGGATCACGGCCACTCCCGCGCCCCTCCCTGTGACACAGACTTTGAAGCTCTGTGAACTTGCTGAGATTTGGTTGGGTCATTTTGTTTTCCTCAGATAAATTCATAAAAATTACTTTATCAAACTGGTACTGCAAGCATCTTGGAAGTGGAGAAACCATGAGATATTGGCTATTGCCACCAAATACAAGGGATTGGGCCTGATTAGATCTATGGTCTGAACCAGAATTAAAAAATCTTGAGGTTTTTATATACTCCCTCTAATTGCAGCATCTGCAATGTTCATTATATTATATTTTTCCACCCATTTCAACAGGCAACTCAATGTGAGGGTTTTTTACTAGGTTTTTTTAAGATATGAGTTGATCTTTTCCAGAGGCTGGAGAGATTTCGCACTGAAGGGCCAGACTGCAGAGAAAGCATTAATATAATACTCTGACAACTACCACAACATACAGACAAACTTTACTTATACTTTCTTTGTCCTTTCCTAAATACAAGGACATGAAAGCAGACCTAAACACCTCCAAAAGGTCAGAGGAAACAACCTCCCCTTCTGGCATAGGCGTGTGTAACAGGTGTGCTCCCTTGTGGTAGCTTGAGGACTTAAGCCACTCCAGCGGGAGCTCTGGGGGACTCAAGTCCCCAGATCCCATAGCAGGGTAATGCCTTCAGGGCACAACAGAGTCCCAAGTTAGCAGTTACTTCAAAAGAAAATAATTTCTAATGTGATCAGGAGCAGAAGGATTGTGCTTATTTTCATTTTGGGATTGTCCCTAATGCCATTCAGCTTTTAAACACCATAGGCTACAAGCAGGAAAGTAAATCCTATGAACAACATTTATCTATATTAGCAACTGGCTGAGCCTGTAGCAATGGTTTGTTCGGTTGGGTATTTTTGATTTGCTGGGAGGGGAGTTAAGGGGGGCAAGGCAGAGGTTGAGGGTTTGGTTTGGTTTTGCTCTGATATGCTTTCCTTTGTTAACTGGGCACCACAACAGTGAAAGCTAAGATTTAGGACCCACAAGCTATTTTTATGTTTTTTTAACATATGTAGCAGGTTTTTGGCCACTTTGGCTCATTTGATCCTTCCATCACAAGTTTGCATCCAGCCAAACTTCTGTTCCTAGCTATGCCTCTGGTGTAGTTCCACTGGTTTTGGTTTTGAGGATCATTATTATTCTTGTATAACTTCCCATATGTGTAAACCATTTGTAAGGAATTCTCTGAGGGAACTGCAAAGCATGATGATTTTCAATAATATCAGCAAAGAAAATCTGGCTCAGATGGCACTTCAGAGTTATGCAGTCTGATGGGTCTTTCTTTCCCAGATTGTGTTCTTGCTACTATGTCTCAGTTGGTTTTGGGAAAGTTTTCATCAGAACCCATCTGACTTCCATGTTGCCTCTAGTGCACTTGGATTTTCACTCCCATTAGGAGACAGGTATAAATATGTGTGTAAACCTTTTGCCAGACACTGAATGAAAATAATAAGGGGTGTGTTCAAACTTTCGATATTGGCTTAAGCCACCACTCAGCAATCTGGTAAAATAAATGCTATCTGGGTGTTCCAGATTGATTTTTGTCCCCTTCTCTCCCCATTAGTGAGCCCTGTGATAATATCCAGTTTTTGTTGGTTCAATCTTAGAACAAATATTTATAGTTAGTAGCCTGACCCAAGCATTAACATTTCCTCCCAGTCAATGTCTCAGAGGTTCCCTACTAGCTCCACCCCGAGTGAGCTTAGTAGCTCATGGGGCTGGTGCAGCCACTAGCCCTGGCTTTTCCCCTGGATGCCACAGTCTTCCCTTAGAGAAGGGTACCAATCCTTTAGCAAGAGACTCTGTTGGGGAAATCCAGAGGAGCACTATCTAACCCAGTCCCTGAGTGTTCCTGCTGTCATATAGGGACTACACCTACATCAGGAGTGACCAAGATGCATCCTGTGTCCTGAATTCAGCCCAGAGAGCCATGTCACCTGGCCTGAGGCCTTCCTACTGGTCTAGAAAATTGGCAGCATGGTGACTGGTAGTAGTTTTAATTGGTGGCAATGAGGAGCCAGAGCAATCATCCTACAGACAAATTTCTGGACCAGTGAGGAGCCCTGTGAGCTGGATCTGGAGTGCAGACCTTGCCTAACTGGCCTGTGGGGAAGAAATCTGGAAGCAAAAAGAAGGAAGGACCAGTGGACACAAAGACTGGCTTCACCTCACCATTTGCATGTAAACATTTTACCCAGCACAGTTAAAGTATGCACAACTAGTTCCTAAGCCTCCCACATTGCACACTAATGAGAACATACATATATGGGGCACCTACCCCCCACTCTCAAGCACATGCACCAACAGCTATATGCAGATGAGGCCTATACAAAAGCCATCACACAGAACATAGGTAACAACACCTACATCTCAAATATTCTACATGCTTTGCCACAGCCCCCTGATAAAACCACTGAAAGTCTCAGAATCACCTCCTCCTGTGCCAGCCACTGAGACCTGTTTAGAGTTGGCCATATCCAAGAATCACTTCTCCCTTTTTAAAACATAAAGGACCTACATGAGCAGCTCTTTGACCCAGAAGCCACAGTTAAGACAGTAGGGGCTGCCTGGAGATGGTCTTGATCAACAGTTACCTAGCATGGGTCTAAGCCAGTAGCAGCCTCCTTACCAAAGAGCTACTTCATATAGCCCCACTGAAGAGCCTCTCATTGAATTAGCTTCAGACCCTTTCCCTTTGTCTTGAGTCAATAGGAGACACGCTGCAGGACAATATCAACTCTAGGGCATTGGGAGTTGTTGGGAGAGTGGCAAGTATAAGCCAGTATAGACAGAGAGGCAACTGCTTTCTCAGCTGCTTGACAAGTCATTTAAGTACCACAATGTTATTTGGACAGACGCCATCCCCTTTGGCCCTAGAGAGGCAAACTGTCCTCCCTATCACCTTGCCCTAGTCAGTCTCTCACCTGCAGGGGCTCTCCTTCTTATCCCATAATTCCTTCTTTTCCTAATCCCCTTTCCCCTGCAGATGCAAGGATGATACCTGTCCATGAGCCACATTTTGTGCACTAAGGTACGGACACCTCTTTCATCAAGAGCAGAGCCAAAATGTTATGGTGTTTCATAGACTGGTGTTGGTTCATGTGTTGTGGGGGTGGGGATAGGGGCAGGGGGAGGAGGCGTTTAGCTATATAACAGGGCTGGGCCTTGTTACAATGGGTGTGGGGGAGCCAGAACAGCCCCACACCATAGGAATACCTCTTCACGCCCACCCCAGACCTGGAGGGACTCTCTGAAGGCTGGGAAACAAGGTCTGGGTGAGTCTCCCAGCAAGGGAGCGGACACAGGTGGGGTGAATGAGGAAGAGCCTACCATGTGGACCAGCAGAGGGAGAGAATAAAAGATGCTGAAAGCAGCCTGAAGGAGGCTGCACAGGCCTTGAGCAGGCTGCCTGGAGCCTGGGGTTACCAGGGATGGAGTAGCCACTGGGAGGGGGTGAGAGCATGGCCCCTCATCTACTTGCTTGTTTGTTTGCACAGGCCTGCAGTCTTTACAGAACCTCTGAAAGATAAGAGATGACCAGAAGATGAAGCCTAGAAAGAAGACAGCCAAGAGCTAAGCGATAGTTTATTCGTTTAATTTTGATTGCTCATCTTGCATTTCCAACAAGCCTCAGGTGGTGTTGTGGTGTTATCTACTAGCTTTGCTGCAGCAGAAGTGAGGGCCCTGAACAGTGGGTGCTTAGCCAAAGCTAGCAGAAAAATTAAAGTGGTCAGCTCTGCTAGCATGACCAAACAGGCCTGATGGATTTGCCCACAATCTACCCATAGGCAGCTTACCATCTGCAGCAAAAGAACCTCACATCATTGAGTGCCGTGTCATCCCCCTGACCCTGCTGTGGTTCCACCTTGGTCTGGAGCCCACAGATGGCCCCAGAGTAGCAGCGATCACTCCAGGAGCCAAAAGTGCCCCAGACAGAATCTAGATTGCCCTCTTGCACTCTCCCATCTGACAATCTGAACTTGATGTTGTTGGCTGCTGTGTCATCACCATCTCCTTGCGGTGACTCTACATTCAGTGAGAAGGCAGTCAGGTACAACCTGGGATGCCACTGCATCACAGTCCATTGACCCCACCTGCAGGAGAAGAAAACAGTCTATCTAAGATATGTTCAGGCTCAGCTAAACCCTACAGGAAACTGGTCAAACTGTGCACTGGGCCCAGAATTCCCAGGACACAGCAGCGATGAGCAGAAAGGCCTGGAAGGGTCTGTGAAGGGGTTTTTTAATTATTCTTTCTTCCCTGGGCACCTGCAGTATTGATCCTGGTCTTCACCGATTTGCTGGTGGATAACTTGAAGGCCTCAGGAAAACAGTTTTATATGGAACATACAATTAATATATCTTTCTCCCAAGCATCCCTCACATAGAAGGAAACCCCTCCAGGTTGAAATCTTGGTCTCTTGAAGTCCCCTTCCCAGGATTTCACCCAAAGATTTCTACAATGTGTGGGACAATCCCTTTTTCCACATTTACCCTTATTTGTGCCATTTTAAAAAGACTCTGCAATTAGTATTATTTCACCAGTCATCCACATTCTTTACAGAAAATAAGAATTTCTAATGTGAAATGGCCACTTTACCCATCCTAGAGAAGCCAAAGTACAAATGCAAACCACTCCTGTAACTCAGTTTGCCTGGCCATTTATAAACAGGACTGTAACAGTATGCACCTTTCCCCTGTTCCCAGTTTTACACTAGCTGTGTTCCTTGCTCCACCTTAACTGGCTCTTCACCCCAAGTGTCCCTGCCTTATCTCATCAGTCATGCCTTGATTTTTCCTTAGTGTGCAAGTCACTGGAGAAAAGGAGCATCTAGTTGACAGGGTGACTTGTGACTTTACAGTCCCTCCACATTCTTAGCTGGGATTTGCTTCACTAGGTACAAGTCCTCTAGTCTTTTCTTCCCTGGCCATATCCTTCCTTATGAAGTTTCTGAGTCTTTCTGAACAGGCCCAGCACTGATCTGGCCTTCCTATGGCTGGTTAGACCTCCCTCATTCTCCACATTCAGTTTCTCTGGGTCTATTCTCCTTCCACTCCAGCTAGAGCTCATGCCTTTTCCTCCATCACAGCCCTTCTGCCCCCCTTTCCTACTGGGACCCTTCCATTATACTGCTGTGAGAGGAAAGACCTCCCGCTTGTATTTGGCCCTGTCCCTTCTTTTTGCTGATGAGGACTGAAGGGGCCCATTACAAAGGGGAATAGTCAACGGAGTGTCCCGTTGCAAATTGCAGCATTCGTTGTGGGGTGGGGGAAGAGAAAGGGAGGGGAAAAGGTAGCAAGATAAACCAATGAGGTACTCACGGTCCCACTGAAGATGTAATGGTTGTACCATCACTACAGTACAGAAGGATGCCGTTCAGAGCTGTATCATCCCCGGAGCCTTGATAGGGCTCAACCTGGAAGAAGTGGGAAAGGACCCAGGGTTTCAGGGAGGGTCAAGAAAATTCCTTGAGACCAACAGTTCCTCTCAGCTTCCTATGACTAAACTCTATGAATTAAATAAAAAAGACATCACATTATAGAGTCAAGCTGTGCATTATTGTTTTCATCATTGCCCTAGGAAACCAGGAGGTGATCAGGCAACTTTTCCTAGGTATTCTCCTTTGTGCTTTCCAGCTCCTCCTCATCCAGTCAATAAACCAAAGATTATGGACTAGAACCCAGCAGGGAAGAGGGAGAAGACAGCCCTAGCCATATTCCCCACCCACACACACCTCAGCATTACATTTCAACCGTGGCAGCAACAGGCAACTTCAGAGCAGCACAGGCAAGTAACATTAGATTTACATGAACTGAGCAAAGCAGGTTCCCATGCAATCCCTTAATGTGTGTACTTTTTTGCCATCAGCACTGTATCTATTAGGAGTTTTGTTAGCATGTTGTTGAACAATAAAAGAAAAAAACAGGTACTAGACCTTCCCTGATATAGCTGCGCTGACAACATTTCCTACGATAGGCCTAAAATTTCAAAATCAAATATTCAGAAACCTTGTTTGCTGATGACTGGGGAAGGATCAAGAAGAGAGGACAGAATGAACCCCCTTAAAAACTGCATAGAATTCAGAGAGGTCCCTGCTGCAAAATGAGGAGATAGCAGGGGATCAGGAAAAAAATTACCTTCAGGGAAAATCCTTTGGCATAGCCAGTAGGGCAAAATTCTACGTTTCCCCAATTACCCCAGTTGCCTCCATTGGGCACAGTGAGGCTGGAGGAGTACCATCTTGCCTCTGCGTCCTAGAGACAGCAGCAGAGAAGCAAGCAGAGCACAAGTCGGACAAAGGACCACATAGCGAGAGGTTCACTCTCGGTCTGCCTTCCCGGTGAGTGACTATCAGCCCTGGGCATCAGCAGAATTTATACCCAAGCAAGTTGGGCTTTGTTTCCTCACTGGCCTGGTGACAAGTACAGCTGTGGTAATTGCACTCAGGCACTGACCTGGAACTTACTGAAATGACTGCACTGTGACCTAGGTGATGTTTTGGAAGCATGGAAGACACACAGATTGAAATATGACAAAAAGGCAGTGCCTCTGTGGGATGTTCACAGATGACTGAACCAGTAATGTTGAAGGTAAAGCTAGATGGTACCTTAGAGACTAACTGGTTCATAGGGACTTTAACAGGGAACTTTGTAAGATCCTATGAGTGGCCATATTAAATTACACAGGGCAGTTATGCAAATCCCCAGCCCTGGAAACATCCCTTCAACATCCATCAACTCTTTATACTTGCTTGAAGAAACAGCCATCAACTCTTTGTACTTACTTAAGGAAGCCTGGCAAACCAAAGGCCCCCAACTGTACAAAGTGAGAGTGTGCCTTTAGAGACAGAGAGAGAGACTCACTCTGGAACAAGAGACTGGAGAACTTGTGTATTGTCCCTGCCATAACTGATGTGGATGGGGACCGATACCTGGAAAGCTTTGAATATCCATCCATTTTCCCTGCAGTGCTTATGTCCCAAATAAGCACATGCTTTTTGATAGCTGGCAGTTCCTTAGTTAACTGCCACTGTGTTGGGGAAGGGCAGAGCTGCAGATGCTGGAATAATCCCAGTGTGGTATTTCAAGGGGAGTGCAAACTGCCACCCTCGGCTGGAAGGACAAAAGTGACATCAGGAAGCAAGAGAGCTGAGCAACAAAACTGGGCTGTTTTCTCGATGGCATGGTGCCTAACACAGTTATAGCAACCATTTATTTTCACATACCTATACCCAGGCACTGACCTGTAATTGATTGAACTGGCAGCCATGAGAACAAGGTGATGTTTTTTGTTCCTACTTTAATCAATGAGTTCCTGGAATTACTGGGGTTGACAAACACAGATTTCCCAGCCTGGTTATGTAATACTCAACCCTTTGAGGTTTCACCTGACAGGAATAGCATAAACTCTTTCACCTTCAGGGGAGATCCCAGACAATTGGAAAAGGGCAAATATAGTGGCCATCGGTAAGAGGGAAGAAGGCAGATACAGAGAACTACAGACCAGTCAGCCTCACCTCGGTCCCCAGAAAGATCATGGAGCAGATCCTCAAAGAATCTGTTTCTAAGCACTTGGAGGAGAAGGTGATTAGGAACAGTCAGCGTGGATTCACCAGGGGTAAGTCATGCCTGATCAACCTGATTGCCTTCTATGATTAGATAACTGGCTCGGTGGATGTGGGGAAAGCAGTGGACATAACATAACCTTTACCAAAGCTTTTGATACTGTTTCCCACAGCATTCATGCAAGCAAGTTAGGGAAGTATGGGTTGGATGAATGGCTGGATCATCAGGCTCAGTGGGTAATGATCAATGGCTCAATGTCTAATTTGCAGCTGGTATGTGGAGTACCCCAAAGTTTGGTCCTGCAGCCAGTTTTGTTCAATAGCTTTATTAATGGTATAGAAGATGGGATAGAGTGCACCCTCAGCAGGTTCACAGATAACACCAAGCTGGGGAGAGTAGTAGATACACTGGAGGTTAGAGCTAGGATTCAGAGTGACCTAGACAAATTGGAGGATTGAGCCAAAAGGAATCTCATGAGGTTCAGCAAGGGCAAGTTCAAAGTCCTGCACTTAGGACAGAAGAATCCCTTGCACTACTACAGTCTTAAGATCAACTGGCTAAGCAGCAGCTCTGCAGAAAAGTACCTGGGGATTACAGTGAACAACAAGAGGGACATGAGTCAGCAGTGTGCCCTTGTTGCCAAGAAGGCTTAACAGCATACTAGGCTGCATTAGTAGGAGTGTTGCCATAAGATCAAGGAAAGAAATTATTCCCCTCTATTCTGCACTGGTGAGGCCACATCAGGAATACTGTGTCCAGTTTCAGGCCCCCTTCTACAGAAAGGATGTGGACAAGCTGGAGTCCAGTGGTAGGCAATGAAAATGGTCAGGCGCCTGGGGTACATGACTTCTGAGGAGAGGCTGAGGAACTGGGTTTATTTAGTCTGCAGAAGAGAAGAGGGGATTCAATAGCAGCCTTCAACTACCTGAAGGGTGTTCGAAAGTGGATGGAGCTGGACTGTTCTCAGTGGTGGCAGATGACAGAACAAGGAGCAATGGTCTCAAGTTGCAGCAAAGGAAGTTTAGGTTGGATATTAGTAAAATCTCTCTCACTAGGATGATGATGAAGCACTGGAACAGGTTACCTAGAGAGGCTACGGAATCTCCTTCCTTGGAAGTATTAAGGCCCAGCTTGGTGGGCCTCGCCTTTTATAATATCTCATATGGTCCTTGCCACTGGGCCAACAATTTGCTGTTTTTATCCAGTAATTAAATTAATACCTTTTTTCCTACAATGAAGTCTCTCTTCATAATCCATTGGTTGTAGTTCCTTTTCTGCCACTCTTGGGCCCCTTGCAGATTTTCTTATGCTATTTGCTGCATGGTCTACAGCTGGTCCCGAAGATGATTCAGGAGACTTGTTGCAGTAGGCTCTTGTCTCTCTCACCCCTTGCAGACCACATCTAATAAGCCACAAGCTTTGTATTCATCAGCCAGTTGGAATGGGGAAAACCCCACCAATGCTTGTGATGATTCCCATATCAGAAACAAAAGAGGAGCTAATGACTCAGGGGTAGGCAAAATACGACCTGTGAGGCTATCCTAGCTGGCCTGCAGGGCCCTTAAAAAATTTAGAAAATTAATATTGATCTGTCCTTGATTCCTGTCAAAAATGACCCCAAGGAAAAGCGGCCCTTTGCCCGCCCCATGGCCAGTGCTCCCTGCTGCAGCTGCTCGCAGTCCTGAGCAGGCACAGGCAGCCCCAGGTGGGCTACGAGGGGCTGCAGCATGGGGCACCGGCAGTGGGGCAAGTGAGGGACTGCTTTTCCCCATGCTCTGCACCAGCTCATTCCCTGATGGTGAGCACATGGTCGGGGCTGCGCTCTGTCCCCCACCTGTACCACGGGGCTGGGTGGTACAGGAGTGAGCGGGAGCATGGGGCCCACACCGGTGTCCTGGGGCCAGTGCCAGTGGGGCCCAGAACAGGGTGGCAGGGGTACAGGGTTCCAGCCAGCAAGAGCTCTTTGGAGCTGGGCCAGCTCCCCCATCTCCCTGCTGCTGCAGCCCAGCCTGGCTCCACAGACTCCTGCCAGCCTGCGCCCCACTCTGGGCCCCACCGGTGCTGGCCCTGAGACACTGGTCCCAAGACATTGGGACATTGGTCCCAACATGGTGACCAGGGGGCAGGCACCTGTCAAGGGGCAGGGCTACCCATGCAGCCCTCGACAGCTTGCCAAAACTGGGTAAGTGGCCCTATGCCTGAAATAATTGTCTGCCCCTGCAATAATTTATCCCATTCCTTGAGATTTCCTTGTATTGCTGCTCATAGCATCCCCTTTAACTCTCTCTATAAGAGGGTGGTGAAACACTGGAACAGGTTAGCCAGAAATATTGTAGACTCTCCATCCTTGGAGGTTTTTAAGACCCAGTTAGACAAAGCCTTGCCTGGGATGATCTAGTTGGGGATGGTCCTGCTTTGAGCAACAGGTTGGACTAGATGACCTCCTGAGACTGCTTCTAACCCTAATTTTCTATGATTCTATGATCATGATATACTGCTGAAATTATTTACAACATACTGGATAAAATATAACAAGGGCAAGTGCAAAGTCATGCATTTAGGATGAAACAACTGCATTCCAAACACGACGGGCAAATTATTGGCTAGGCTGCAGTACTGCAGAGAAGAACCTGGGGGCAACAGCCCTTAAGCTGACTGTGAAACATCAGTTTGATCTTGTTGCAAAGATGACCAATATCATCCCAAAGTTTCATTTGCAAATCAAGGAAAGTGATCCTTTTGCTCTATTTGGCACTGGTGAAGCCTCACCTGGAGTCGTGTTGAGCCCTGTGCTTCAAGAAAGATGTGGACATACTAGAAAGAATCCAGTGGAGAGTGTAAAAATTTTTACAGGCCTAGGAAACATGATTTATGAGAAAAGACTGAAAGAACAAGAATTATTTAGTCTAAAGAAGAGAAAACTGAAAGGATATTAATAATGCACTGACAACTTTGTGACAAGGTGCAGTGCAGAAAGTCATTCTTCTTTAGCAGGAGAACCAGTTCTTCCTGTTTATTCCCCAACCTCCTGGCATTGGTGTATAGGCAGGCAAGTGTCCCATTGGGAGCCATTGCCTTCACCAGAGATCATTCCAGGGCTAGGGGTGGGTTCCCTTAAGTGCCTTAGCCCACTGAATTTACAAAGGTTGCCCAGTGAGCTTGTAGTGGCGATAATCCCCCCAACCCCCATCAGGCTTAGTTTAAAGTCCGAATTTAAACTAAATTTACTTTGCATATAATACATTCTTGATACAAAAAGGGTTGTCACATTTGAGCAAATTCACACATACAGAACCCTCATAAAGCAAGAGAAACCTGTGATCTTTCAGAGAGTTTTTCAGCTGAACTTAATGTATCAGCTGAAAAGGAATCAGTTGAGTGACCCAAAAATAGCGGGGAGAGGGCAGAACGATAGGCCAGGAAGATGGCCCTAGTGGATGCATCTTGAATGGTCTGGAGAGGGAACAAAGCATGCCTAAGAAGTCAAAGAGGAAAGGTTTGTAGGAAATGCAAGCTAATAAGAATCTAAGTGAAAGTTTATATGAGTAAGCCAAAGTCATATCCCAGAACGAGACCGAGGGAGATAGTATTTTGCCTTAATATCATGGCTGTCAGGTGCTCTTTGATCTAAGACATTCATCTTGTTTTCTCTGGGAGCTCTCATAGGCAAGGGCCATGGAGCAATGGCTGGAGAACCAGGCATGTTTGCTCAGCCAGGATAATCCAAAAGTAGCCTGGTACAGAATTAACTCCTATTTGGGTGGTGCCTACATGAACTAACAAGGAAGTGGGAAGGAGTTGCAGGGCATGGTCAGGACCTGGAGGGAAGGCCCCAAAAGAGGGAAGGCCCCTTCCTCCTCAAAACCATGGGAAAAAACACAGTTATAGCAAACATTTATTTTCACATACCTATACCCAGGCACTGACCTGGAATTGATTGAACTGGCTGCCATGAGAGCAAGGTGATGTTTTTTGTTCCTACTTTAATTAGTGGGTTCCTGGAATTACTGGTGTTGACTAACACAAATTCCCCAGCCTGATTATGTAATATGCAACCCATGTGGATAGAGGTTTACTCTTTATTAACTTATAAATTATTTAGAATTTGTGCTTCCCAAGATTCCGCTTAGTGTTTCCCCCTAATATAGTCTTTGTTCTTTATGCATTTTCAAGACTTGTGAGTGGGGATGTATGACCTCCCACAGGATGAACTAAGCCCATTGCTTATGAAAGCTTTGATACATTGTTAAACATCTCTGATATAGTCTATAAGGTGCAGAGCTATCCTGCTTTATGTCTGACTTCAGGCTAAACACAGCTGACTTCCTCTCTCCCACAGGAGGCTGTGGATAGGGACTCAAGCCACAATTTGCCAGAAGAATTACGCTTATTATAGATGTGGCAGCTAATATTGCCTGTTAAGCCACACAAAGTTTCCTATTCTAAGGTCCGGCTTTCAGTTTTTTCTAACTTTGCAAAACTATCACCATTTGTGTTGAAATTTTCCAGGCCTGAGGTCTACCTCAGGCTGAAATTTTCTGGAAAATTTTAGTTCAAACAATTCAATCATTTCTGAGAATAAGTTTATGGGAAGAACATATTGTTTTCCCATGTAAAACTTCTGGAAATGTGTTTCAACATTTTGCTGCTATCAGAGTCGCTGAAATCACATTTGGCAAAAGAGAAGTAGATAAAATTAAAACCATCCCACATTCAAATGACACCATGACAAGAAGAACTGATGACATGGCAGAAGACAAAATTAAACAAATTTCAGAAAAAATTATCCAGAAACAACAGTTCGCTTTACAGATTGATGAATCTACCGATGTGTCCAACTATGCACAATTGATGATGTTTGTCAGATACACTGATGATGAAGACAAGCAAGGGATACAGAAACAAATATGTGGATGCAAAGAATTGGACACAAAAACAACAGGAGAGGACCTTTTTTAAATCTTAAATGAGCACATTATAAAAAATGGATTGTCATGGTGTGTGTCTGTGTGCACAGATAGAGCAGCAGCAATGGTAGGTCGACAAAGTGGTCTTGTTGCTCACTTAAAAGCTATAAATCCTTCAATCAAGTGGAACCATTGTATTATCTATACACATACTACTGACCTTCTTCAGACTGAAGTTTGGTGCTTGTCACATGGAAGGTTGTTGAATTGCCTGTTCCAGTTGAGATATGAAGTTACCGTCTTCCTCAGAGAGATGAAATCTGAATTCTTACAGTATTTTGAAGATGAAGTATGAATTTGCAAATTAGCCAATCTTTGTGACATTTTTGATAAAATCAATTATTGAACCTTCAGCTTCAGGGATACAACACAAATATATTTACCTTGCATGACAAAGTAAGAGCTTTTAGGGAAAAGTTGAGGTTCTGGAAAAACAGAGCTTTGTGTGGAAATGTTGGTTCATTTCCACAGGTCTCAGAGTTCTGTGAAGAATATGAAATCCCTCTGAATGAAAGTGTGAAAGCAAATATTAAAGAACACTTGGTAAATTTGGAGTCAAACTTTGAACATTATTTCCCTAATGTTGAAGAGCATGAAGATCCACAGAAACTATGGATTTTGAATCCATTTAATGACAGTGCGATTAAACAAGCAGGGATTTCAGAAAGCATGAAGGAAAAACTTTCTGAGCTTTCCACAGACAGTATGCTGCAGAGGATGTAAAGCATGAGATTGGGTGACATCCCTGCATTTTGGCAGAAAATGAAATGGGAACACCCACAGCTGAGGAACATGGCTCTCCGATTTGCCTCAACATATTTGTGAGAGACCAGTTTCTCACACTTGACTGAGCTAAAAAGTAAAATAAGAAATAGTTTGTGCCTGGAAAATAATCTGATAGTAGCAATAAGTAGTTTAAAACCAAGATTTGGAATGCTTATGTCATCCAAAAAGGCCCAAGTTTCTCATTAAATCCACATCTTACAAGAACTCATTTTTATGCTATTTTGATAAAACTAGCAAAAAGTCCCGTCCAATCCCTGATTTGTAGAACAACTCTAGAGAGGGAGAGTATCAGTTCCAGTCACAAAGATACTTCTGCTTAGAGTTTTATTAATATAAATGTTTGAGTTATATATTGTTTTTACTGTTCTATAATTTATAATTCACGTGTGATTTTGTTTCAAAAACTGTTGTAAAATTCGATAAAAAAGAATCCAACTTAAATTCTGAATTATTGTACGCCTATTTGTGTGTGTGTGTGCCCCCATGTCGTCCTGCAT